CAAAGCAGGTGAGCATCCCCGCGCGGAAGACGGCCAGCGGCACAGCCTCGTGGTCTCGGCACTGGATCTTGCGCAGCAGGGGCGCCACGACCTCCTCAGGGGCCTCCCCGTCCCGGCAGATGCGCTTCAGCAGCTCGCTGTACGTGCGCCCGTCCAGCCCCGGCTTCTTCTTGCGCCCGCTGGCGCTCAGGCACTCGTAGGCCACGCCGACATTGTTGTTGAAGGCTGTCCTGCGGGGCGGACAGGGGCGTTGGGCCAGCCGGGCAGAGCCCCGCCCCGCCCCTCCCCACCCTCGGCCCCTGCCCCGCAGCTCCTCCTCCAGCACACCAGGCCCGTACAACCTCAGGGCCTTTGCACCAGCTATGCCCTCCCTGGAGTGCGCTTCCCCAGACCTCCCCAGGCTCCTCCCAGTCTTTGCCTCTCTGGGGGAGAGGGGCCTCCCCAACTCCCTGCCCTCTTCCTCTACTTTTTTTTCCTGGCGGTCATCACATTAGACCCACTGTCTGGGGTCCTCAGGAGTTTCCTCTCTCCCACATCTGCCCAGGAGCCCACAGCAGGGGGCTTATCTGTTGGTCACTGTTATAGCCCCAGTACCCAGAACGCTGCCCAGGGGGCCGAGGATCATCTGCTGACTCAGCCAACGGGCACCTGCCCACGGACTCTCCAGCGGCCCTCCCGCTGATGATGCCTGCACTGACAGGCTCTCTGGGGCCGGACCCCGTGCCCACCTTTCCTCCTCGCACAGGCCAAGAGTTGAACCACAGATGTGGCTCAAACCTGGCTGTTGCCTGTTTCTGTAAAGATTTGTTGGCATATGGCCATGTCAGTCCCAGATGGGCTGCCTGTGGCTGCAACGGCTGGGGGCCAAGGGACACACCAAGGATCAGCTGCCTCTTGAGGACCCTGCGCTCTTTGCTTCCTTCATCTGGAAAATGAGGGTCCTAATCCCCGAATCTCAGGATTCTTGGGAGGACAGAGGGTAAGTTTCGGGCCAAGTGCTTTCAGACTGTGCCTGGCATGTGGGAGGGGCCCCATGTGCACCTGTCATTAGCTGTAACCAGCGCTGCAGCTCAGCCACTGCTTGGATGCTGGTGACCACAGGCTTCTGGCCCCATGGGCAGGGAGACTCATGGAGGAGCAGTGACACCCAGTGAGACTGGAGGATCAGGCGGGCAGCCCAGAGGAAGGCCAAACTCAACCTCTAGGCCCCGCCTCCCATCCGTCCTCCCTGGGGCTCCCCGTGGCAGCTCCCAGCCGCGAGGGGGCGCCCATGCCACCTGCTGAACCGTCCTGGCGGCCTAGGCTCTGGCCCTCAGTTTCCCTGTCTGTGCAGTGGGGCCTGGGCACAACTGAGGCTCCACTCGGGTCAGCCCCACACCCAGCAGTTTGCAAACCATCTGCGCCTTTGTTTAAAAGGAACTGATTTATGGATTGTGTCCAGAAACAGACACGGAGATTTTCCACTGTGGACTGGGGGCTCTCAATGGGGGTGACTCCGCCCCCAGGGGACACTGGGTGATATCTGGGGACAGTTTTGGTTGTCACACTGGATGGCTGGAGGCCTGGGATGCTGCACATCACCCACAGGGTGCCCCCCCCCCCACAGAGTGTGACCCAGCCCCCATGTCAGCAGTGCCCAGGGGGAGAGACCCTGGTTAATTATTTGGAAAGAAATTCGGTTCTCTCCCTGTTCACACCAGACACCCACATGAATTCCCACTGAGTCAGACGGTGTAAACCAAGGTGACTCCCAGCTCTGAGTCACCCCCGCCTCCCTCTCACTCAGGTATGTATTTAAATGTGTGCAGCACCCCAGGACCTCAGAGGTCAGAGGGTCATGAATGCAGTCTCTTGGGGCCAGTGGAATCCCTAACCCAGGGGTCTGGCCAGGGGAGATTCTGACCCCAGGGGACTCTGGGGACATCTGTGGTTGTCACGGCTGGGGGTGGCTCCTGGCATCAAGTGGGTGGAGTCAGGGATGCGGCTCCACACCCCCCCAGTGCCCGGCATGCTCCCTAGAGGATGCTCTGAGCTGAGACTGGCGTAGACCCTTTGGTGCTTCCGCATGTTTTCTGGGTCCACAGGATCTGCAGGGGTCGCACTCTTGCTGAACCTCTGAGCACTCAGTGGCTCAGAGGGAGGCCTTCGGGCCACAGTGCCCAGGCGGCCTCAGCCAGTCCTGGGACAGTCCTGCTTGTGCTCTGGGGGCCAGTAGAATGTCAAAGCTGCCATCACCAGTCCTAGCAGCCAGAGCTTTTGATTTCTTGAGATACCAGCAGAGGCTGGTCTCATTTTGGTTGTGCTCTCCCCAAATCTCTCATTTTGGTTGAGTTCTCCCCAAATTTTTCATGCTGGTGATGCTCTCAAGAACAGCCCCAGGACGCCCCAGCCAACCCCTTGGCGTCAGGACAAAGCTGCCTGGCCTCGGAGGGACCACCTATCTCCCAAATCCAGGACTCACCTGGCCCGGCTTCCGCTTCTCGCCCATCGGCCAAGGATAAGGGGCTCCTGGCTGCGACCCCACCTTCTGAGTTCACCACTGGCTCTGTCTCTTGGGAGACCAGGTGAACCCAGGTGCCAGGGCACATCAGCCACCAGCACCTGCCACTCACCCTCTGTGCCCCTCCTCTCCCAACTGTCACCAGCCCCTGGCTCCAGCACCCCTGAAGTGCTGTGCACAGCATCCCCTGAATATAGGTCCATCCAGCACCTCTGAGTGTGACCATATTTGGAAATGGGGTCTCTGCAGATGTGATCAGCTCAGGATCTGGAGATGAGGTGGCCCTATATCCAATGCCAAGTGTCCTATTAAGAGAGAGGACAGAGACACGGAGAAGCCATGGGGAAGACAAGGCAGAGATGGGAGGGAAGCAGTCACAAGCCCAGGACACCTGGAGCCCCCAGGGGCCAGAAGAGGCAGGAAGGACCCTCCCCTGGAGCCTCCAGAGAGAACACAGCCCTGACACACCTTGATTTCAGATTCTGGCCTCCAGAACAGTGGAGGATACATGTCTGTTGTTTCAAGTCCCCAAGTCTGTGGTCATTTGTTACAGCAGCTCTAGGAATCTCAAACAGCCCCCTTGGCTATAAATCCATCAGACACTTCCCAGCCCTCATCTATCGGGCCATCGGACACAGGGCCACTGACAGCCCACAAAGTGTCTCTGTGTGAATCAGGAAGAAGCTCTACAAAAAGCCTTCATATAAATGTTCTTGTCTGTGATGTCTATGGGGTGAGTGGCTTGCACAGTGCATGACCTGAACAACTATACATGGTGGTCCTGCCACTGACTTTCTTCCTCCTTGGAGGATGTCCTGGAATGTCACTCTCTTCTAGTTCTCTCCTTCATGTCTGGTCTGCCTTCTCATGCTTTTCTGTCGGTTTTCTGAGCTGGGGCTCCTTGAAGTCAGTGCCTGGGGTCTTCTCAGCCCTCCCAGGTGACAAACCTCCTGTAGCAGTCACATGTCTCAGTTGCAGACCTGACTGTCCACCTTCCTGCTGCGAGGTTTACCCAGACCCTGAATGAATAGTCTCCAAGCAACTCTGGAAATTTCCCCAAACCAGTGACTTCCCATCTCACAGACCACCTGAGACTGTTCGTGCATAACCCCTGCCACCTCGGCCCCAGCAAACCCAGCAGCTCAACCTTCAGAGCCTGCCCTGAGCACATGGACACCCACCAGCCCACTCCCCTCCCTAGGTCCCCATCTCAGGGGTGGCCCCGGCCATCCTGCAGCTTTTCCTGGCTGTCACTTTGGACACCCTGCTCTCCCCTCCCCTTGTGGTGGAGATCTGGTGCTCCTCTCCACACCCCTTCCATACCCTGGCTCCCTTCCCAGCTCCTCTGTGCTTCCCTTCTCTTGGGGTCTGCACCTTGACTCTCTTGGGAGGGTGGTCTGTGGGCAGGGAGTGCTGGGGATCAGACTGAAACTCTCACTTGCTTGGCCTCCTCCTCCTCCATGGGTTCTCTGGGAAGCGACCTCTTAAAATTACCCCCACGTGAATGCTAGCCTCAGACCCTGCTTCTGGGAATCCACCCCCACCCCCAACCTGAGACCCAGCCCACCCACATCCAGCCGTGACCTTATCTGGTTGATGCTGCGTGTCAGCTTCTTCCCATCCTCCGGACGCGGACCACTCACTCAAAGCATGTTCCTCAGCCCCCTTCCCTGGGCTCAGAGATGGGCGGGGCTGAGTGGGGTGGGGGAAGCCATCCCCTCCACCCCACCATGCTTCAGCCACAGGAAGCATCCACTGCCTTCCCTCCCCCAGTGGGTCCTTCACGACAGCACTACAGCTTCCAGGCCAGTGCACTTGCTTGCCTCGTGACTGAAACACCTTTCCCTGTGTGTCGCGCAGGCCCCTTCCTCGGTGCCTGCTGGGGGCCTACTCCTAGGGTAGGGGCCTTGGGTGACTGGTTTGCTCTGTGTCTCCACGGCCCAGACCTATAAATACTCATTTTCTGGCTTAACGGACGGGGATGCTACAATGCTGGTAACGAGGCTGCTAGGAGGGACCTGGCTCAGAGAATTGCTCTGCAACCTTGGGCTAAGTCCTTTCTGGGCTCCATGACTTTCAAAAGTGGGGTGGGCTGCAAGAAGGAACTCAGCACCTGCAAAGAGGCATCATAAAAGACGAAGTGGGCCTGAGCTATCGACGCAAGCAGTCAGCTAGGTGCCACGCTGGGGACCTCCAGCCCGTCAAGGTCCGCGCCCATCCCGCCACAGGTGCAGCGGACTACAGTTCCCAGCATGCCTCGCGCTCGAGCGCCAATGGCGGGGGGGCCGCGCGGAGCACGCTGGGAGTTGAAGTCCGGCCGCGGCCCCCACCCGCCCAGGACCGGCCCCGCCCCGCACCTCTGGGAGTGGTGAGCCAGGCGAAGGTGCCACAGCGCGCGGCCCAGTCGCTGCTGCTGCAGCAGGAGCTGGCCCGCTGGCTCCCCGGCGCCGCCGTTTGTAGGCGAGCGCAGGCCCATGTTCTCGAAGTAGTGCGCCAGGAAGGCGATAGGCTCCTCGGGTCGCGCCTCCAGCACTTTCAGCAGGGCCGTGCGCAGCATCTCCGTCACCCCGACCTGCCGCAGGAAGTCCTCCTCACTCTCGGTCATCGCCGCCGTTCGAGACGCCCCCGGCCGGCCGCTGTCTGTGAAACCGGCCGCCTGGGATACCGCCAGCCGCCGCTTCTCCACCGTCGCCATCTTCGCTGAGGGCAGCGGGACCGGAAGTGTCGCCATATTTCATAGCGCGCTGGCGCCTCGGGGCAGCCATCTTAGTTAAGGGCAGGGAGCGCCTGAATCCCCCTGGAAGACTCTGGGAACTAACCAGCTCAGGACACCATTTTCCTTAGGTTCTAATTGGCACTCTCTCTCCGGCTCCCTCTTTACGTGTGTCGGTTCGCTTTCCTGGCTTAGGCCCAGAACCTAAATTTTTGCCCGGCTCCAAGATGGGTTCCCTAGGAAGGGCTTGGTTTCTGGTATGAAGCCCGACTGGTTGCCATCTTGATAGTGGGCGAGTCCTTTAGTAGCATGGTCCCCTAGCAACCAGCATCCTTGGTGCCCAGAGAAGCTTGGAGAGCGTGGGCGGGATGGCTCCACCCATACTCCAGGACAAAGCGCCGCCCCCCATCCCGCCCTTTTCTGACTTTCACCTCGGAGCCTTTGTGCTCAGTCTGGCTTTCAGCCTAACCCAGTCTCCGCCTGAGTTTGTAGCTCAACTCTTTGGGAAAGGCTCCCCCGACTCCAGGCTGGGTTAGGGGGTCTGCTCTGAGCCCTCGCGGCCACTAGTCCCCGCCACTGCACTTGTTCGCGGAATGAGTGGACCACCCACGGTCCCCAGTTCCCTGTCCCAGGCTGTTACCTTACCTTACTAATAGAAGGATCTTTTTCACTGCACCCTCCGTAGCTCTAAATTCTCCCATAGCTCCCCAGTTCCTGTAGGCCCTGAAATCTACAGCCAGCCTCGCCCTCGCCTCTCCTCCCACCTCAGTCCCCAGCTACCCTAAAAGAGATGCAGTTTCCTTTAACAAGCCACGTCTCTTCTGTGTCCTTGCCCTTGCTGTCTCCCAACTAATACTCTTGTCTGCTTCTTTTCAGGACTCTTATTTATTTTTTTAGTTCCAGTGTCCCCACATCCAGGAAAAGCACCAGGAAGAGGGCAAGCCTCTCGCCCAACCCTGGCCAAGGAGGGTGAGGGTGTGTGTCCCTCCTTGTCTCTCTGGGGAGTCATCTAGAGCAGAGGGTTCCAGGTTCCTCATACCATCACAGGAACCACCCAGGTCAGACCAGATGCTTTTTATTCTCTAGCTATGCACCATTGGGGTGGGGGGGCTCCCCAGGGCTCCACTGAGGGGAAGCCCAGCCTGCTGGGGAAGCCGGATGTGGTGGCCATCAGGGTAAAGGGCCCACGGTTAGCCCCCCTGCTGCCCAGAACCCTGCAAACGTCCTCTAGTCGCAACTGAGTGGAAGGAAAGTCCCTCTCAGTGTGGTCCGGGCAGGGCAGGGGGCCCAGAGTGCGGCCTTGGCCATCAGCTGGTGTGCCGGCAGTGTTTCTGCAGGTGGTAGATGAGGAACGCCAGGAGAAGCAGCCCCAGAACCAAGCTGCCGGTCCACAGGGCTGCAGAGGTTGGCGAGGAACCTGGAGAAAGACACATCGGAGCACTTACAGCTTTCTGAAGGTTTTGGGGGAGCAGCCCAGCACTCTCCCTAAGGCACCCCAATTCACCAAGTTCCCTGAAATTTTACAAAGGACTTCATGGTTTGAAACATCTTTTGAGTCATATAAAAATCCCTGGAATAGCCAAAGGACTTTAAGGTGAGTCTTTTGAAAGGTACATAGGATCTTATAGTTCGAGGTGAGCTGTCCAGTGAGGGGGACACTGGCCAGACGGCCTGTGAAATATGGCCCCTCTGAATGGACAGCCCTGTCCATGTAAAACTCATTGCATTTTGAAGACCAATGTGAAGAAAAAAATCTCACTCATGCTTCTTCATAGATGACATGCTGAAGTGGTAATACCTGAGATGTATTGGGTTCGATGAAATATATTATCAAACTTATTTCTCCTTTTTTCCTCAATGTGGCTACTAGAAAAACTGAAATTACCCAAGTAGGTGTATTCTAGTTCTGTTTCTATTCCACAGGCTGCCGTGGCCCATGTAGTTTAGAGTTTACAAAGTGCTGTGACATCTACAATGGTCTTGGAAACATAGTTCTCACCACCGTATAGGCAGCTGTTATCTTGCATTCCGGGGAGCCCACTGGACAGCTGGGGAAACTGAAGCCAGCAGGATGCCTCCTTGTCTAAGGCCTTGACAAATTTCCCTCCCTCCCAGCTCCCCCAGTGCCCACCCCAGACCCCAGACTCACAGGTTTCCGGGACCAGGTGCAGGTTGGCCACCTGGCCCCCCGGGTCCAGGCGACACTGGAACCAGCCCTCAGGGTGGCACTTGGTCCACAGGGTGCTCCTGCTGCTCAGCCAAGCCTGGGCCCCGGACTCCCGCGTCTCGTAATTTGCCAGTCCGCCAGGGGCCTGGGTCCAGCGCACAGCCACCCCTGGGCCGCAGGCCGCCTCACACAGTAGCTCCAAAACCCCCAGTGCTGACGACTCGTGGATCTCCGGGTGGCAGGGCCTCGTGGAGCTGTTCCTAGGTGCCAGGCCAGGACTCCCTGGGCTGTGGGCGGAGGCCTGCTCGGGGCTGACCTCAGGGGAGGTTGTGATTTGGAGCTCCAGAGGGGTCGTGATGGGGTGCTCTCGGGGGGTAGTGGGGGGCTCTGGGGGGATCCTGATACGGAGATCCGGGAGGGTCGTGCCAGGGTGCTCTTGAGGGGACATGGCGGGGGGCTCCGGGGAGGTCAGGCCCTGCAGGACTGGAAAATGGCAGCCATTTGTTCTCACTGCTGCCCAGGCCCCCTCTCCTGCCTGCATCCCTCCATCTGGACCACATGGTTGGACCAGAACTGCTCTAAGCCCATCCTGGGTGAATTTCAGGGTGGGTAGGAGCAGGGTCGGGGTCCACTGTGGCCGTTCCACCCTGAGTGAGCGTCTAAATCCCCGAGTCTCACTTTCCTCAGCTGTAATGGGGGTGGGGTGACAGCCACCTACCCCGGGGGGCTGGCATGGAGAGCGATCCGTGTACCCAGAGCACAGGGCCTTGGGGTATTGGGAAAAGGGTGGGGGGCGGGAGGGGAGGGTGCCCCCCATGGAATGAGGAGATGCCCTGTTGTGCAGTCAAGAGGCTGAGGCCCCGAGAGGGGATCTGTAGGCTCTGCTGTGAAGTCTCTCAGACCCGGAGGTCTGTCTGCAGCCCCTCTCTCTGTGTCCCTGCCTGGCCCCTTCCTACTTCTTGATCCAGAATCTTTCCTGGCCCCCATGACCCCAGTGTGTTAACATGAGTTTCAAGGTGCCCTATCAGAGAATCAACCTGTACTTTTCTAATGAGAGCCTGCCAGGGGCCTGGTGATGCGGGCAGGGCCCGTCCCAGATTAGACACATGTGGGTTAAACTAATAATAACATATGAAATGAACTGAGCACCTACTGTGTGCCAGACCCCACGTTAAATGTCTTTGTTAGTTCGTTCAGCATTTCTTGAGCACCTACTATGCGCCAGGCACTGTGGTAACGGTTAATCATTAATTCATTCAGAATGTAAATGTAGGTACTGAACACCTACTATGTGCTGGCCACTGTTTTAGCCACTGGAGACACAGCTGTGAATGGGAGCGACACGTTCCTATCTGGATAAAACCCACAGCAACAGGGTCTGTCTCTACAGATCATGGAAAAAACAAAGCAAGCACATGAGATGTCAGATGCTGACAAAAGGTGTCAATAGATCCTCAACGGACATTCAACAGGAGAGAAGGGGCTCATGTGTGAGTGTGTGTTGTGTGTATATGTGTCTGTGTGAGGGGTGAGGGGTTGACCCCTTGGACAGGGAGGTCAGAGAAACCTTCACTGGGAAGGTAACCTGAGGGAGGTGAGAGAGGGAGCCAGGGGAGATGTGGGTGTGGGGAAGAGCACTGCTGGTGGAACACACAGCAGTGCAAAGGCCCCTGGGGCAGGACCACACTTGGGGTGTTGGGGGAACGGCAGAGTGAGTGAGGGGGAAAGAGAGGAGGGGAGAGGGCAGGGAGGCGGTGGGACAGGCAGGGCAGGCTCTGCAGGGGCCCCTGGGCACAGGGAGAATTTGGGATTCCACCCAGAGGGAGGTGGGAGCCATAGAAGGCTGTGGGCAGAGGAGGGGCAGCAAGTTACGGCCCAGCACAGGGCAGGTGCTCAGGAAAGCTGTCGAATGAATAAGAAGCCGCACTCTGGCTGCCGCCAGGGGACAGAGTAAAAATTGAATGCATTTTTCCCCCTGCGGTGGGCACTGTGCTCCCGCCCAGATGGGGATGCAGAGGGTTGCTCCCAAGATTCCAGAAGAGCTGCTGGGCACTGCCCGTCAGGGCTCCTAGGAGCTGGGTGTTGTGACTTCACCCGCGTCCTGGGGACACTGAGGTGCTGCCCAGCCGGGAAGCCGCAGACTTACCTGGAATGGGCTGGCGGTGGCTCAGCTCCAAGCCTGGCAGCCTCAGGGTGGCCTGGCAGTGGAGGGTGTGCAGGGCGGGGGTCCCCCAGGGGGGCAGCAGCCAGCGGGTCGTCACTTGGAACAGCGGGTCCTCGCCCTCCTGGGGCTCCTCCTCCACATCCCAGCCCAGGGCCTCTGCCCCCTCCAGTTCCCCATCCCCCAGGAGCAGGGACATGGAGAAGGTGTCAGGGCTGGTAGGCGGGCCAGCAGGCATGATGTTGTGGGCTGTGCAGGCCACCTCCCGACCCTGCCCGGCCACCAGGGCCTCTGGGGTCACAGTCAGCTGGTTCGGGAAAGCTGTGGAGGGAGGGATGGGAGGGGGTGGGCTGAGCCCAGAGGGTCAGGGCTGGGCCCTGAGGAAGGGGTGTGGGGGTGGGGTAGGGGGTGAGTGGGCACTGCTGGGGCGCAGGGACAGGGAAACCCAGTGGCCACACCATGTGTGGCTAAATTATAAGGTGCCGGACAGGTGTCCAGAGCAGAAAGGGCAGGGGTTTGGGTGCAGGAGGTTTGGGGATGGAAAGGGAGTGAAGTCTGAGAGGCTAGGAAGGGGAATGCGAGGAGGAGGGAGTGGATTGCAGAGTGGCTCAGGAGGACCTGCAGGGCAGGCTTTGAGCTGGGGCAGGGTGGGCAATCCGGGAAGCCTCAAGGAAGAGGTGGCATAGGGACAGAGGAAAAGCAGGGCTGCCGGGTGGGCTCCGCGTGTGCCAAGGCGACGGGAGGGGCGGGAGCTCACCGAACACCAGGAGCTGCACGGCCTGCTGGAAGGTGAGGTTCCCGCAGGAGCCCACGCACACGCGGGTCCCCGCAGCCGACAGCGAGGCGTTGCGCACGGAGAGGACGCTGATGCCCGCGCCCGACTGTACGGCTCCCAGGCTGGTGTCCAGGCCCCGCCACTGCACGGAGGCAGCCCTGCCGTCTGCGCAGGCCAGGCGGCAGGTGAGCTCTCGGGACTCGCCCACGGCCATTGCCACCACGGGATCGGGGGGCTCCACCTCCAGCGGCCCACCTGCGGGCAGACGGCGCTCTCAGCCCCGCCCCGCGCCCCCAGCCCCAGCCCCTTCCTCCCTCTCCAGCCGTGCCTCTTCCAAGGCCCTCCGCTGTAGGATCCCCCATCACCTCCCTGAACCTCCGCGGCGCCCCGCTTCTCTCCTGAGCCCGGTCCCCACTCACCGCGGCCCTGCGGGAGCAGCCCCAGAAGGAGAAGAAGCGGCAGGAAGACGCCCTGCTCCATGCTCGGTCCCCTGCTCTGTCCCCGGCCCGCGGGGAGGAGGCTTAAATAGTGGCGCCCCGGGCTCCTTCCCGCCGCCCCGAGACCTCGCTTCCCCTCCCCCCAGCTGCTCCCCGGGGGTTTCCCGAGGGGTTTTCCCACCCTGACCCTCGACCCCGGAGGCGACAGAGAGACAGGGGCTGGGGACCAGAGTTTAGGTGGGGGCAGAACAAGGTCAGAACAGGCGGGCGGAGGGCCTGGGCCGATTCCAGGTCTCACTTTTAGACACGGAAGATCGGAAGATGGGGGCGGGAGAGGGGTGACTGTCGAGGTCAATTGCATGGAAATCGGAGCCAGGCCCAGGGTTGGCGCCAGGTTCGCCCCGTCGCGGAAATCTCGTCCTTCACTGCCCGCGACGGCCGCGCGGGGGCGGCGGCGAGCAGCCTCCCCTAAGCTTGTGGGTCGGGGTCGGGGGTCTCCGGGGTGGCGGCTCGTCGGGGGAACCGCTTGGAAGAGGGGACCGTCAGGGATGAGGAGCTTGTGGAGGCAGTGGGGTTTCCGGGGGGTGATGGAGCTGAGGCCCTCCGGTCCCTGGGACGCAGGCCTGATGGGACCCTGGGAGCCCCGGGCATGGAGGCCGCCTCTGCTCTGTTCCACACATAGGCCTGGGTCTGGGGCCCACAGGAGACTGGGAGGGACCCCCAGAGCTCATCAGCGAGTCCTAGAATCTCATCTTCCCAACTCCTGAATCCATCCATTCCTGGCCTCTCAGCCTGGTTCCTGGCTTCTTCTGGGCCGTTCACCACCCGGCACCCAGAGTGGATTTAGAAATACCCTCTGAGCACGTAGACACCCCAAGACTGCCTGTGGCAGAAGGAAAAGCCAAACTCCTGGAGGCCGCCAGAGCCCCAGGACCTTAGCACGTGGCCCCCCCCCTGCTCTCCGCTCCATCCAGCTTCCCTGCGCCCCTCCCCCACCGCACTTCCTCTGGTGCGTTTTCCTCCTAGCCCTTAGCAAGGTCTTGCAGCTGATGTCACATCCCCCGTGTAATGCTGCTGCCCCCTGCAGTGACCCCCAGACCCCATGCGCAGCAGGCATGCAGGAAGAAAAGAATGGAGGGTCTCGGTTGCCCCCATGACCTCAGGGTGTGGCTTGTGCCTCAGTTTCCCCGACCTCCTCATAAGAGGGGGCAACCCGGCCATGGGGTCTGGGCATGACCCACTTTGCTGTTTGTGCCTTCTCACTCAGTCTTTTAATTGTCAGAGGCAGAAACTGGCGCCCACAAGGAGGGGCCTGGAGCAGAGGAGAGAGCTGTGGTTGGGGGGCTTCGAGGGGAGCAGGCCCTAGTGAGGAGGGCCCAGGTGTGGGAACCCAAAGTCTGGCTTCCTTGGTCCCATCCCCCTCCACCCCCTGCCGGGAAAGACTGCACAGGAAGGCCATTCTGAGGTGCGGCCCTCCCCAGGCCGGAGGTGTGGGCCTTCTCGGGAAGCTGGGCCCTTAACCCGGGTGGGGGGCCACGGGCCTGGTGAATGGGTCTCTTCCCAGCCCCTGACCCCGCTTCCTGCCGCCCTCACAGGGCGTGGACTGGTCTCCCCAACTGCTGGCCCCTCAGCTCTAAGACTCTGCTGCTGCAGTGAGGAACCATCAGGTTCAAGACACCCACAGCTCTAAGAGGCTGAGTGCTAAGGAGAGCAGAGGCCACCCTGAGGAAGGGACAGGTGGGCTGAACAGGAGGAAGGTTCTGGCAGAGGTGGGGAGAGTCAGAGCCTGGGGGGGAGGGAGAGAAGAAAAGGCGGGTGGAGAGACAGAGACAGAGGGAGGTGTGTGGGGAGAAGGCCCAAGGGGGTCTGGATGGACCCAGGACAGGCAGAGCCAGCTCCAGCAGGGACTGAACCTCATCTCCCACCTGCCTTGCCCTGGGGGACTGAGCGTGGGTGGGGGCTGAGGCCACGGTGGTATCTCCAAGCCTGGGCTTCCTGCAGTGCTAGCTTTGGGTCACCCCTTCCCGGCATCTTTCTTGCCTAGAGGAAGCCCTCAGGGGTCCCCATAGGAAGCCTCCTTCCCATCAAGGGTCCCAGCCCCACCGAAGACCCACATCCTGGCCTCCTCGCCCACCTTCCCAGGACGGCATCAGTGCTCTGTAGGGTACTCGGGGCCAAGGAGGCTCAGTGTCCAGAGAGGCCAGCGCCCCAGCCCCAGGACATGCCTGTTCCCCAAGGACACCTTCCTGCCAGCTCCTCTTGCTATACCACTGGTCAGTTGGGGACCTCACAGCTCTTTTTCTTTGGGGTGAGCTGGAGTTAGGAGGGCAGGGCTGGATTGTTTGGAGCCCCTCCCCCATCAGGTGCCCCACCCAGCTCTGGCCCTGGAGAATCGCAGACCCAGGATGTCAGCCTGGGCACCCCTCTCTGGGTCACCCCTGCCTTGGGGGATCTCAGGGATAGTGGGGGAGGAAGGAGATGGAGGCTATGAGTGGTCTTTCATTAAATAGCCACACAGAAGATTCTAGAGCAGGACGGGGCTGTTCCAGTCCATCTGGTGGCCCCTAAAGTCCCCTGGGTCAGCTGGGCTGAGGGGGCATGGAGGGCTGACACCCAGGGCACCAAGGTGAGGCCAGGTCCCCAAATAAACAACCACCGTGGGATGCCCGTGAAGACAGCCTCACTGGGAGATTCTCTCTGAAGCTGAACCCAAGTTTGGCAAATTGGGTGGTGGCCGGCTGGCCATCTTGGGGCCTTTAGCGCCCCTTGGGTCCATTTGAGGGACTGAGGTTTGAGTCATCAGGAGCATCAAGAGGGTGGAAGCTCCGACCTGTGATGAGACGGACTGGACTGGACAGCAGCCCCTGGTGGGGGTGTGCTCCCTGGGGAATGCGGCTGGTCCCCGACCTGGGCGGAGGGCTCAGCCAGGGCCAACCTGGAGAAAGCGGAACATGTGTGGGTGGGGGCTCTGAGGGTCCTTGGGCCACTCACCTGCCCCAGAGGGCAGGCAGGCAGGCATGTTTGCTGAGTGAGAGCTGATTTGGGGGTGCTGGCTCTACTCCCGCAAGGCTGGGGACCTAGAAGGGCGACTCCTGACCTCAGGCCCCCGGCGCTATGCTGTCCTCCAGGGGCAGCTCCTGGTTAGTGGGGTTCTGGCCGGAGGGCTGAGGGGCGGTCCACGGACCCCAAGGAGACTCTCGTGGGTTCTGGGGGATGCAAAGGGTGATCAGGAGCACCAGGAACGAGGGGCAGATGCTGAAGGGGATGGTGTCCAGTGCCCAGACAGCGGGCATCAGGGGGCCAACTGACCCCCAAGGTGGATGTGGGGATGTGGGCAGTGCCTTGTCAGAGGGCCCCAGGCTGCAGTCTCACTCAGCTCCATGGGGCACAGGTGCACTAGGGCCCTGAGGGGGTGGGGTGCAGCCCTCACACAGGCCACGGATGCCACGTTCGTGCCCGGCACTGTGCCTGGGGGACAGGACAGCAGGGGGGTCACCACCCCTCCCAGACTCCCCCCAGGGTAGGGGCAGAAGAGGCCCGAACTGACCTTAGCAGGTGTGTGCAGACCAGGGACCACAGAGATCTGCCCACCCCACACCCACCCGCTTGTCCACTGTCCACCACCTGTTGTGCATCTTCCCATCATCACAACTCCTCCATCCCCGGGCCACCAGTCGTCCACACATCCACCGCTCATCCAGCCACTCAGTGTCCATCTGTCCATCCCTCCATGCATCATCTGCCCCCAGCTGGAAACCTCATGTGCACTGACCACACCCACCGTGGCAGCCCTGGTGTGGGGACCAGCTGAGCTGAGTGGGGAGGCCCAGCTCTGCTCCATCAGACCCTGTGTTGTGATGGAGGTTTGGAGGGTCTCTGAGGAGCAGGCAGGCCGTTTCCCAGGGCAGAAGTGCTGGCAATAAATTCAAACAGTTCCCAAGGATTTGCTGTGGGTCACCAGCCAGCACTGGGCCAGCTGTGTGAAGTTCCAACCATGCAGTAGGCCAGCCAGCTGATCCACCTGGGAGGGCTGGGCTGGGGAAGGGACAACGTGGGGGTATAGGACAAACTCAGGCCGGGCAGAGTGCCAGCCAGGAGTGGCCACTCATCGCCTGCAGTGTACGTTTTAATTCAAGTATCAGCCTAAAAGCAGGTGGGAAGACTCAGTTACTGGGAAACTTTTAAGTATGTTTGGAACAACTTGGGTTTATGAATCTACTTTTTCACCTACAATTTTAGGAAATCTTATATACAGATGAAATTAAATACTTCCAGTGAAAATTAAGCAGAACAGAACACAGCACAGGGCCTGGCATGCAGTAAGTGCTCTGTAAATGACAACCATGGTAAATACATTTTATTACTGAGGAAAGCAGTTGAAGGAGATGGTCAATAAGTGTTCTTTTTGTCTAACTAGAAAGACGGAAGCTTGTGAAACTCTATACTAAAGACACAATAAAATAAAAATCTTAAGGTTAAGAAAAGAAAATTAAGCAGAACATACGTGTAAAGGTAAAATACACACTGGATTTCGAGACTTTATTATGAAGTAAGAAGGTAAAAATCTTACTATTTATTATTACAGGTTCAAAGTGTAGTGTTTTGGATTTATGTGGTTAAATAAATCATATTTCATAAATTCATTTGTGTTACTCACACCACCCATTTCTTTTCGCATTTTCTGCATGGCTGCTGGGAACGGAGCAGACTGTGCGGCTGGAACTGTATTGCAGCTGTGGGGAGGCTCTGGCCTTGCACTGGCTTGTGCTGGTGAGTACAGAACAGAAATGTTCCACCATGGCACCCACTCCTCCGCCGGACCCCAGGCTGAGACCTGGGAGCCCCTGCTCTGCTAAGGGGTTAAGACAGTGGTTCCTACCTGGCAGGGACCCTGGGCAATGTCCGGGGGCATCTGTGGTAATCACACTCGGGGCTCCTGGCATCGAGGGGATGCGGCCGGGGTGCTGCTCAAAGCCCCGCAGCCGCCGGAGAAACATAGGGACCCAGGGCCAGCAGTGCTGAGACCCGGGAGGTAGGGAAACTGCGGGTGGATGTGGGGGAACCGGATGGGCCTGACTGCAGGGTCTGCACCTGTGACATGAACGGGACCGGGGGCTTGGGGAGGACGGAAGCCTGGCAGCTAGGTCTGGGTGATGGGGGCGGGTGGGGTGGCGAAAGTTCACAGCCCAGTCAAGGTGGAGTTGGGGGTAGTTCTGCTGGGCAGGTGGGAAACTGGGGTTGCAGGACTGTGCCGAGGTGTCTGGAGCAGGGCTCCGGGAGGACCAGGCTGGGTTTGGGGGTGCTGGGTGGGGAATGGGGCCACCGTCCAGCATCCGAGGCTGAGACTGGGAGTCCCAACTGGTCCAGATAACCTGTGGGTGCCCAGCAGGGAGAGGGTCAGGGTCGGGTTGAGGGTCGGCGGTGGGGACCCAGGGTCAGGGCCCGGCCGGGACTCGTGCGTTCACCGCACCGCCGCCCTCGGTGACGACTTTCCTCGCCAGCAGGACGCGGAGGTTCAGCTTGGCTCGGCCCCGCATGCTGCAGCCACGAACGCAGGGACGTTCCGGCTCCCGCTCCGGCTGCGATCAGCGACACCGACTCGGAGGCGGCTATGGGCAGCCCCTGCGGCCGCCGCGCTGCCGGACTACACCTCCCGGCATGCCGCGGGAGCCGGGGCGCCCGCCGGGGGGCGTGTCCCACAAGGCCGCGCGCGGCGCAGGGCCTCGCCAGCCCCGACCCTCGAGTCGCTGGCGAGGGCGCCCGAGCTTCGGGGCGCACTCGGCTTCTGGGGCAGGAGCTCCTGCCTTCGCGTATTTTCGGGCGAACGACGGCGGCGTCGTGCCTCTTTAGGTCCAGTTCTGATGCGTGGGCATTGCCGGGGCCGGGCGAGGACCCCTGAGGCCGGGGGGGGCGACCCAGGAGGCGCCCGCTGGGTGCTCGAAGGAGCGAGGTGGGACCGTGGCTCGGGCGAGGGCCGCGGGCGCGTCTGGAGTTGCGGGGGGCGGGGTCGTGCGCTCGGATGGAGTCACGTGCCAGGCGGCCAGGCTCCTGTCGTCTGCCCAGGGCCGAGGTGCCCGGGCCGTGAGTGCTTTATCTCGTGTGGGAGGATGGGCCTGGGGGCCGGCATAGTGGTGCTAGAGACCATGGTCGTGCTGAGGGTCGTTTAGTCGCCGGAGCCCTGATGAGGGTCACTCCCTAATTTAAGAAATAGTTACTGAGGGCCCACTAGTTGTCAAGTATTGTTCTCTGTGCCCGGGTGACAGCAGAGACCAGGGAGCTTCCATTCTCGTGGGGGTAGGGGTGGGGTGGGGGGAGTGGGGACCGGGGAGCATAAATGTTAGGTAAACAGGCAGCAGTGTGCCTGTAAATGTTGAACAGCTGGCTCTCCAGGGCAAAAAGCTGTGCTTTGTAGCACATGCTGACTCCTGGGGTGTAAGTACTCCCCTCATGGCTAGTTTCAAGCTGCCAACGCGACATCATCCAGTTTACAAAACTCCTGCAGACTCAAGGGTCGGCTCTTGTAAGCTCCAGCCACTGCGCAGGGGGTGGAAGGTATTCTCTGCGGGTGATAAATGCTGTGGGGAGAAGAGAAAATGAGATGGAAGGAGCCTGGCAGTGGGCGACGGGGCAGGTTGTAGGAGTAAGTTGGGTGGCCAGGGGGAGATGTGTTCAGAGGGGGAGGTCTGAGCAGAGACTTGGAGGAAGTGGAGAGAGTTAGCAAGCGTCTATACCGGGTAGAAAGTACAGTGGGTGCAGAGGCCCTGCAGCTGGAGCTACCTGGGGTGTTCCAGGAAAACAAGACCAGGGGGATGTATAAAGCCAGAGAGAGGGGAGAAAAGGACCTGGTCGGGTAGAACTCTCTAGGCTCCCGAACAGCCCTCTCCAGCCCCCAGATCCTCTGAGTTCGAGCTCTTCCTTTCTCTGAACCTCAGTGTCCTCATCATTATAATGGCCCTCGGCAGGCGTGCAGCTCGGTGCCCAGCAGAACACGAGAGCTGGTCCCTCCCCGCCTGGCTTGGTCCCACGTGGAGAGCCAGCTCTTTCCGGGATGGAGGCAGGAGGGGAGCCTGGCAGGTTCGCTGTGTCCTTGTCCCAGGAAGAACAAGCCTCCCTTGTTAGAGTCCCCGTGGGACAAAGGGGTAGGCGGCCATGGAGACGCGTGAGTCTGAATCAGGGGGCTGGCCGCCGGACAAAGGACAATTGTGAGGGCCCTGGGGAGGTGGGAAGTGACAGGTCACAGGCTGGGAGGGCAGACGGAAGCTGACAATGGATGGGTGGCATCCCAGAGAACACCTGGCCTGCTGCCGCTCCCCCCGACCCCCAGTGCGGGGAGAGAACAACAGGCCATCCAATAACCCAGCTTCCTGGGGGTGCAGACCCACCTTCAGCCCCCACGGGGATTTAGAGGAGCGTGGGGGGCCTTGGCTCAGTGCAGCGATGTTGACGACAGCTCCCTCAAGCCACTTCTTTCTTGAGTCTCTGCACCTGCTGCTCCAGGCCAGTGGTGTCCTAGAGCACGTGTCCCGGACCGACAGGCACGACGACTGGGCTCCCTCTTCTGGGTTGAGGTCAAACCCGTCCTTCAGGAGATTCAAGTCAAAGCCGTTCTTGACTCCTCCCTTTCTCTTTGCCTGACCACTCCCCTCTGCTCCAAACCCTCTGGGGTTCCTGCCTCCCTCTGGGTAACAGTCACGGCATCCCTGCACCCACAGGACCCTGCCTTCACCTCTCTCTCCCTGCTCACTCTGCTCCAGCCACACAGGCCTCCTCCCTGTTCTCCAGCACACCCGGCACAACCCTGCCCCAGGGCCTTTGCCCCTGCTCCACCTAAAATGCTGTCAACAACATTATTTCGCAGTTGCCCCAAATGGAAACGAAGAAGCTCATCAAATAAAGTGTGGTATCTGCACACAATGGAATGTCCTACCCAGCACTGTGGGTCTAGGACCACACCCAACAGCAGGACGACTCACACAAGGTTGGGGAAAGAGACCTCAAGAATGCAGTGCACAGTTCGAAAGGAGAGGCCAACAGCCCTGCTTTAGAAGTCAGAATGGTGGTTACGGGTGGAGGGAAGGAGACAGCTGGTATGTGGGGCTTCTGGGGGCTGGGAGCTGTTGGGGGGGTCTCAGTGCTGCTACATGGCCATAATGGGTGTAACTGCTCTGCGGGGGTTCTGCCCACCGTGAAGAGAAATGCTGATTCCTCCTCCACACTGCATCCCTACTCCCCACCCCCATCTTGGCAACAACCAAAAATGTCTCTGGATGTTGTCCAGTGTCCCCTGGGGGCACAGTCAGCCCAGGTTGAGAACCACCGGACTGGGGGGTGGGTCCTAGACTAGAACACTCTAGATCTGCGCCGTATACTATAGCGGCCACTGGCCACGTCCAGCCACAAGTGTTTGAACTGTGGCTGGTCCAGACCGAGGTGTGCTGGGAATGCGGAACAACCTGATTTTGAAGACTTAACACGAAGAAAAGCATGTAAAATACCCCGTGTCTAACTTTTGTATGATGACATGATAACATCGTGGGTATTCTGGCTTAAGTAAAATGTATTATTAAAATTAACTTTTCTTGTTTCTCTTTTTGACATGGCCACCAGAAAGCTCAGAGTTACACACGTGGCTTGCATTCTGTTTCTTGTGGGCCATCTTGGTTGCCCCCGAGTCCCCAACCCCCAGCACAGAGCCTGGTACACAGTAGGTGCCCAAGAAGTGCAGCCCCTGGCTTCGTAGCCAGAACCCAGAGGCAAAGTTAGAAGTGTGGGTTCACTCGTGGCACAGACGGAGCCGGGGGAGGGCTTTGTGAGCAGGATGGGGGCAACTTGTGATTTTGGGAGACTCTTTGGTTGTTGTGTCGGAATGGGCTTCAGGGCAGGAAGGGAGACAGTGAATTTTGGGGGCAGTAATACCGTTCAGCAACTGAAGAAGGAACAGATGGATCCGGGAAAAATGGAGGAAGCCGGGAGACGGGAAAGGGCCAGGTTCTCAGTGAAGACAGCTGCCCCCATAACTGCACCCTGACGTCCTCCTCAGCCGACTGTGAAGAACTAGGCCAGGGTAGGCCACATGGCCAGGAGCTGAGAGCCACTGGCCCCCAGTCCTATAACCACAAGGAAGTAAATCCTGCAACGAGAGGGGCTGGGAAGCAGACCTTTCCCAGCTGACCCTCCCCGTGAGCCCCAGCCCTGGCCAACACCAGTGAGGCAGCCTGAGCTGGAGGTCCCAGCTGCACGGGCCCTGGGAAACTGTGATAATCAACACATGTTGTTTTAGCCTCCGTGTTTTGGGGGGGTTGGTTGTGTGGCAGACAGATGACCCACCCTCTACAGTGGGCTGACCAGCAGCGTCCACATGCATCTCCCACGGGGCCCCAAAGCCACGATTCCAAAACTGAACTCATGATCTTCTAAAGCATGCCCCTCCTGCACCTGCTCCCCCCAGGTAAGGGCAACTCCATCCTTTCAGGGGCTCAGACTAAATCCTGGAGACTCTCCAGTTCTCTCCCTCCCCATGTTGTCTGCCTGCAAACCCTGTTCTAGTTTTAACATACACCCGGAACCCACCTGCTTCTTGTCGCTCCTCCGTCCCTGCTGGACTGGCCCCACCACCCCTCGGCCCCCAATTGTCCCCATCCTCCCTGCCGTCTGCCCCCCATCACCCCTCCCATCTTTCCTGTGCCACCATCCTCCCCACCTCGCCCCTCCCTGAGCCGCGTAGTCCCCTCCGCCCCGACTCCCGGCGCTGCCCAAGGCCTGTTCTCCCTATAGCCACCAGAGGGCGCCTGTGAGCACCAATGGGGCGCGTCCCTGCTCTGCCCACCGCCCTCCAGGGCTTCCGTGTTCCTGGTGGTGAGTCTGAGACCTCCCGCACCCCGGGCCCTGCACGGCCTGACCCACCGTCACCTCCTCGCCCTCACCTCCTCCCTCTTTCCCCGTCACTTATTCCACCCCAACCAACACAGGCCTCCCCGAAGTTTCTCCCACCCACCTGGCATAGCGCTGCCCCAGGGCCTTTGCCCCTGCTGTGCCCCTGCCAGGTGTGCCCTCTCCCCACCTGTCCCCGGGGCTGGGTTCTCTCCTCACCTCCTTCAGGTGTCTGCTCTAGGGGAACAGCGAGTCCCCCAGCTGCACTCCCCACACCTCCAGCCCCTTCCTCCCCTGCAATCTCCAAGGCACTACTGACCTTTAAGTCTGTGAACTTACTTGCCTGTCTCTCTCAACAGAAGCTGAAAGAGGAGGTTTATGTGCTTTGTTCACCCTTGTTTTCCCTGTACCTGGAAGTGCCTGGCACACAACAGAATGCTGGTTGAATTCACAATTATGGTAAGGGCTAGAATTGACAGGGTGACTGGCTCAGCCTCGAAGCCCCTTCCCAGGCAAGGACTGCAGCTGGACCTCACGTGGCTGGGCCAGAAGCCCCCTGCTCATGTCCCGCAGTGAGCTTCCTTTTCCTAGTTCTCTCATTGGCCCTCCGCTGTCAGTGTGTCAGGCTGGATCACAAACTTGGCTAGAGTTTGCATGGTCTTGGAGTTAATCAGCATCTCATTACATACCGCTCGCTGGGTGGAGGTGACGAGCTCTGGCCTGAAAGTGATTTGCAGAAGCCGCGCTGTCAGTGGAGGGAACGGCGGGCTGTGGCAGGTGGGAGGAGCTCAGGCTGCCCCTCTAGTCTGTCCCTCCAGCCCATTGCCACCCGTGTTAGTTCTGGTCCTTCCAACATCACAGGGAAATGAGGCAGTGGAACCTGTGTCTCCAGCTGTCTTCGCTCCGTGGCTGGCTGCTGCAGCCTGGGCTGGGGCTCAGGCCTAGGGAGGGGTCGGGGCCCGAGCCTCCTCCTTCCTCTGCTGGCCCCGGGCCCTCCTCGGTCGACTTCAGGCTGGGGTCCCAGGTTCCTGCACTTGCGTGCAGCGTTGGTCACTGGGAGGCGCTGTAGGGCAGGAGGACAGAAGTGGGGTGTCCGTCTCTCACCCGCTCCTCAGTGCCCAGTTCTGTCCGTGGATCTGGAGTTGAGCTGCTTCTGCTGTTATGTTTGGTTTTTGTTTTTGTTTTGGGGGGAGGTACTTAGGGTTATTTACTGACTTTAATGGAGGCACTGGGGAGTGACCTGGGACCTTGTGCACCCACTGAGCTATACCCTCCTGCCCTTCTGGAAGGAAGCAAGGGCTTGTCCAGAGTCAGGGCCCACAAGTGACTGACGATGGAGCCAGCTGTGGCCTGGGCTGTAGAAAAGTGCATCCCAGGTGGAGAGAGGGCAGGTAAAGTCCCTGAGGTTCCCACCCCAAGGAGTAGGAAGACACGGTGCCGTGCACAAGGGTTAGGGGATTGGAGAGCAGAGGGAAAGTGGGGACCAGGCCAGGCAGGGTTTTGCGGCAGGCACAGTGAGGGCTTGGATTTTATCCTAGGGTAACGGGAACTCACAGAGGAGCTCCAGCACTCTCAGAAGGCTGAGCTGGAGTTGGAACCTGGGAGAAGCCCTTGATCGTCAGCTTTGACCTAAAACCTGAGTCAGAGGATCCTGTGCCAACACCCCCCTCCCCGGTCCTCAGTTTCCCTGTCTGTAACCACAGAAGCAGGTTAGCGCCAGCACCTCTCTGATGAGACGCTGGGACAATTACACAAGACGGGGCAGGCACAGAAAGTGATCAGGGTAGAGTAAATACTCAGCAGGAGGCCGATATCTGCCTGCGGCTTCACGTGGTCCACGTGACCCTTGCGCATGTGGCTCTGCGGTGCTAACCTCCCTCCACTGCTGCTGCTGTGATTTACTGGCCTCACTGGTTTCTTGACCAGTCCAGCTGGGGGCTTCTCAAGTCTGTTGATCATTTTAAAGAACCACCTGGGGGTGGGGGACTTTGATAATTCTTTGCACAGTCTTATAGTTCATGCAATTCTAACTTTTTTTTTTAACTCTTTCCACTTAGTTGTTTTTCTAGTTTCTTAAGGTGATAATAATAATGACCTTAGGTCATTGATTTTAAGATCTTTCTTCTTTTCCAATAGAAGTATTTAAGACTTGTTTTATGACCTTTTACACAGATGATAACATTTTGATTTAAAAGTTTAGAGGGGAGGATATAGCTCAAGTGGTAGAGTGCATGCTTAGCATGCACGAGGTCCTGGGTTCAATCCCCAGCCCCTCCTCCAAATATAGATAGATAAATAATTACCTCCCCCACCAAAAAAAAAAAAAGAATTGAAAAAGTTTAAACAGCGTGCATTAAAATTACATTGTGGAGTGAGTTGTACGGTGTGTGAATTATAACTCTAAAAAAAGCTGGTAAAATATTGCAGAGGAAGGGGCCTGATAATACAGCAACAAACAAGGGTACATGGAAGAGGCAGGACTTTGAATTCTGTTCCACCATGTATCCTTGAGGATGGAGCGAATCCCTGTTGGCTTTTGGGAGGCAGTGGGTCCTTGAGGCAGTGGGTCCTCCTGGAGGGCCCCCACTGCCTGAGCACCGCTCTCACCCCTGCATGGGGCCTTGGCAGGCCCTCCCCTTGTCCTGCACCTGGGTGCCTTCCCATCTCCTGCAGGGGTCCTGCCAACAGTCACCTGAATCTGCACCACTGTCCTGGACTCCCCACCCGGCTCTGTGTTTGCAGAACATTTAGGGGCTTCTGACACTATGTGCCCATCAAGAAGTTTATTGTTTATTTCCTCCCTCCCCTCCTGGAACATCAGGTCCTCCTCTATCTGTTCTTGTCATGTTCCCACCATCCCAAACAGAAACTAGCACACAGTAGGTCCTTAGTGGATGAAGGAAGGAGGGGAGGAAGGAATGCTTCTTGGCCCAGAGTGGCAGCTCCCTGGGTGGCGGACTTGTACTATGCCTCAGTTTTCCCAGCTGTGGAAATGGGGCTGCACTGCCCGCGACCTGCCCAGTCCCTCCCGCTGCCAGGCTGTGGGTGCCGTGTTGGCCGTGCCAGCTCCCTGGGGCGCACTCTGGCCTAGACCGCCCAGCTTGGCCGGCTCCTGAGGGACCTGCTCTGCTGACACCGTATTCTTTTCCGGACTGTCCAGCCACCTGGCTGACACTCGATCCTGGCCCCACTTCCAGGCCAGCGACCGCCGACCAGCCTGCTTGGGCCAGGGCCCCACGATGCTGGGCTGGGGGACAAGGGGCCATCTGTGCCGCCCAGGGAGGGGGTGGTGAGCCCAGGGCCCTGCCAAGTCCGGCAGACGTATGAGGACCGGGCCAGTGCCGGGACCTGCTGCCCAGAGCCTGCACCAGGTGTGGCTGCTGCCTGCCATGGGAACCCTCAGCTGCGGCCCCACACCCCAGCTGACAGCCGCACCCCCAGGCCGGCGGGCCCCTGAGTGCCAGGTTCCAGAGACCACCGGCCTGCGGAGGTCGTGCAGGCTGGCCGCCTGGGAGAACGGTAGGGGGCGGGGGGCCTGGGCTCCGGGGAGGTGGGGGAGCCCAGCTGCATGCAGGGGCCCAGCCCCAGCCTCAGTCCTCCTCCCTGTGGCCCGGGCAGGGCCGGGGTGCTCCCGTGGGCTCCTGAGGATGCCTCCACCCAGCACGGGCTGAGGGTCTCACCGGCCAGGCGCCCCTCAAGGGCAGAGGGGCAGCAGTGGGCAGAGGAGCAGGGTCCCTGAGGGGAGACGGGCAGGCAAGCTCCACTCACAGCACTGAGTGGCAATGAGACCTCAGAGAGCAAGCACCGAGCCGCCGGGAGCCTGCAGGCGGAGGGGCAGACTGGGGTCCCGGGGGCCGAGCTCCCCCGACACCGACTGTGGGGCTCGCTGAGGGCTCCGGCCCACCTCTCTGTCTGCAGCAAAGCAGCTGGACACAGGTTTTATGCCCTTGTGGCACCAGCATTCTCACAGGGGCCACCGAGCATCACAGCTGTGACCGCCCCTCTGTGCCCAGGCCTCAGTACCCGCCCCCCCATGACCACATCTGTGTCCAACCTCAGTGACCCCTCCTGTGATCGTGTCCCCACGTGCCCTGGGAGGGGGAGGCTGCTGGCCAGCAGCCCCTTCCTGTGACTCAGTTTGACTCACAATGCCCCTGTCACTCACTTTCCCCCTCTGGGGAGGCAGCCTCTGCTCCCCCACTTCTGCCATGGAGGGTGGCCAGGTACCTGGGTGGGGGCTTAGGGGCTGGGCCCCAGGACCCCCCCCATCTCTTAGGGTGTGTGGCCCCGGGTCATGACCTGAAGGCTTTGGTCGCAGGCTCTGGGCCAGGCTTGTGTGTCCTACCGTCCACTATCGGCTTCGTCAACCACGACTGCACCAGGGTGGCAGGTCCTGCCTACTCACTCTCCCGGAGGCCCAGCGAGGGTAAGGCTGGGGCAGGGTGGGTGAGGGATCGGAGGGGCAGGAGAGGGGGCCTCCCAGCCTCCATTCTCCCACCTAGGAGCATGTGTGATGTGAGGCAACACCTGCTGTGTGTCGTCAGGGAAGCGGCTGTGCCTCTCTGGGCCCTGTTTCCTTAGGGAAAGGAGAGCAGTGTGTGGTTTTGTGGTGCGTTAGAAGATTACTTGATGCTTGACTGGGGCATGCTGGGTCTCAGTTTCCCTTTCTGTCAACAATGAGGGCACAATACTTGCCAAATTGTCAGAATTAAAGACAGGGTGGATGCCTAGAGACAGTCATTAAGCCAGGATTAGTGGTGCCTGGTCTCCAGTCAGGGCTCAGGAGCAGAGGGCCTGGAGTATGCAGCCGAAGAGGGGGGGCGCTCACAGGCTGCGAGGCCCAGGCGCTCCTCACCCCACTCTGCAGAGTGCTTGGGGGTCCCCGCGGGCCGGGTGGGGGCAGGAAGAGCCCTTCCTGTTGAGGACTTTGACTTGTGTGGACAGAAGCTTGTTGGGAGGTGCAGCCTCTTCCCCGCCTTCAGAATCAGCCACAATCCCAAAACAAACTGTGAGAAAACTGGGGAAGCTGGGAGGGGCCCAGAAGACAAACGAAGGAATCAGCACCACAGTCATTGTCACTGGGGAGGCCAGCCTGGGTTCCTTGCTTCTTGTTCTGGGACAGAGGGACAGACAGCCTAGGGAGGTGGGGGTAGTGGCTGTTAGTGTAGACTTTGCAGAACCCCAAGTGAAGCCTTCTTGGAGGTAGAGTCATGAGGTCTGGACTTTGTAGGATGAGTAGGAGTTCGGTGGAGCCCCTCTGAGAAGATGGGGACTCCAGGCAGAGCTTGCAGCACAGACAAAGGCCTCGAGATGGGAAGTGGCATGAGTTGGGGTAGGCTCGTCTGCCACGAGCATGCTTCACGCACGTGCACAGTGTCACGTGTGCATACACACACAGAGCACGTAAACCTCCTAGACTCAGATGTGTGCACTGGCACTGGAGTGTGTGTAAACAGCAGCAGTGACAGTCGTGGTAATTGGTCCCAATTATGACGTTCACCACTGGCCCACCCCCTTCAGTGGGGAAGAGGAGGCGGCTTATGCCATGCAGCCCGCCCAAGGACCCGGCTCACAGAGGCCCAACTCCTGACAGGCCCCAGCACTGAAAGGGCGCTCCTTGGCCCCTTACTCAGGGCCTGGTTCCTCTAGCTCCAGGCGCAGTTCTAACGGCCCATGAGCTGGTTCCCCAGCCACTGGCACAGGAGAGGGTGGCGGGACAGAGCCACAGGATAGCTGGGGTTGTGAGGACAGAGCAACACTTTTCCAGACAAAGTCAAGAAGAGACCTGGGGCCCCCAGGTCAGTGAGCTGAGTCCCTGCCCTCCCAGAGAGGGCGGTGGGGGGGGTGTCTGGGGGGGAGGTGGAAGTGCCTCAGGGTTATCCAGGGGCACCGAGTGGGGCCCTCAGGACCCTGGGCTTCTCTCCCAGTATCTCCGCAGGAGACCAGCCCGGGGCCAGTCTACTTCCTGGACCCGAAAGTCACCCGCTTTGGCCGAAGCTGCACCCCTGCCTACTCCATGCAGGGCCGGGGCAAGGCTCGGGGTGAGTATCTGACCTGTACTACCCCACCAGGATCTGCCCTTTTGGGGTCTTAGCGACTCTTGTGCCTCTGTCCTCTCCTCCCCTCCCATCCCCGAGTCTTTAGGACTTCCATGTCTTTGGAGTGACAAAATCCAGTGCCTCAGCAGAGGGGCCAAGGGCCCTGAGAGTACCTGAACGGGGGAAGTGGGCCATGGTGATGGTGACCTGTCCACACATGGTACCACGAAGGCAGCTGGGGCTCATCCTCGGCAAAGGGAGCACTGGGGATTGTGGCAAACCAGCAACCCCTCCACAGGCTCCAGGCAGGGCCCACTCCCCTCAAGCACCAGATTTAATTACCCGATTCAAGCCTCCCATCCACTCACCCTTTCATCTTTTGACTTATCACCCAGGGACCCACCAATCCAATCATTCATCCATTCATCCATGTATCCCCTTGCCAAACTACCCTATTCAACACCCAATCCAGCCATTAATCCATCTGCCCATCCATCCATCCATCCACCCACCCAACCACCCATCCATCTACCCATCCATCCACCCACCCAACCACCCATCCATCTACCCACCCATCCATCCACCCACCCACCCAACCATCCATCCACCCAACCATCCATCCACCCATCCATCCACCCACCCACCCACCCATCCATCCACCCACCCATCCATCCATCCGGGATCCATCTATCAATCCATCTACATATTCATGAATCCATCATCTATTCATTCACTCACCACCCATCCTTCTACTCACCCATTCACTCAAACATGTATCAAGCCAACTGCTGGGAGTTGAAGTAGATTTGACATGTCATTGCTTTTTGTGACACCCCAGTCCAGTGGTGGAGTTAGACCCAACTGGGGATCATCCCACCCCAGTGTGGCTATGTCTGGAGAGGGGGATAGACCCACACCAGGGGGATCCTGGGAAGGACTGTGGGGCTCTGACAAAAGGAGGGTGTGGGGAAGGCAGCAGGGGGTGGGGACTTTGGGGCCATCTTAAAGGATGAGAAGCAGAAGTTGGGAGGTGGGAATGGGAAACAGGAGGCATGCCTGGCAGGGGGCTGAACTTGGGCAAAGGCTGGAGGCTTGGAAGAGAACAGAAAGGGGTCGGGGAAGAAGAAACACCTCAGGGCTGCTGCGAGCTCCACGATGCACATGGCCATGGGAGCTGTGCGAGGTCTTCGAGGGGGTAAGGACTCTGCCAATGCCAACTCTCCTGCCCGACTCTCACAGGTCTGGAGGTGACGCCGGGCCCTGGGGCCTACAGCCCAGAGAAGGTGGCTCCTGTGCGCCAGCGGACCCCCCCAGCTTTCACCCTGGGCTCCCGCCTCCGCCCACAGCCCATGGACACCTCAGCCCCTGCCCCTAACACCTACACCCTGCCTTCCCTCTGGGGCTCCCAGATCTCCATCAAGCCCAGCAGCCCCAGTTACACGGTGGTGGGCCGCAAGCCTGCTGCCCGCCCCCTGCAGGACCCTGCTGAGATGCCAGGCCCTGGCCAGTACGACAGCCCAGACCCCAACACGTACCGCCAGCGCCGGCCCGCTTTCACCATGCTGGGGCGGCCCCGAGCCCCGCGCCCCCCGGAGGAGACGCCTGGCCCGGGCACCCACAGCCCCGAGCAGGTCACTGTGACCAAGGCCAGGGCCCCGGCCTTCACCATGGGCATCCGCCACTCCAAACGGGCCACCACCATGGCCGCCGACACCACAGCCTGATGCCTGCAGGGGACAGGATGCCTGGCTTGCTCAGTGTTCCATGCTGTGAAGTGCAGTGTGGTCAGCCCCTCCTGGGCCCGGCTTCAGCTGGAGGACTGGGGACAGTTCTTTTCTGAACTGTCTGAGGTCCTTCTAGGCCACCTGCTTCTCCAGTCCCTGGGGGATGTGACCCCTTGGCCCCGACAGGGTGAGCCTCCTTCCAGCGTCCCAGTTTCTCCTCTCTGGGTCATACCAGGCCAGGCCAGGTGGCCCTCCCCAGCTGCTGCCTGGAGATGCAGCTTCCTGTGTCCTAGAACTCAGCATCCGCTCACCAGGGCCTGGGTCCTCAGCGCAGCTTGGGTTTCTGCCAAACTTGGGCTCATCCCAGCTCCTCACGGAAGCACAGCCCTGGTCTCGGCCCCATCCTCTAGCTGTTGGCCAATAAATCTCCACGGCACCGAGAATTGTCACAGCACACACCCTTTGTCTGTTCGCGTCACAGGAGAGAACCCTGAATGCAGCTCTCAAGATTCAGACCCCCAGCTCTGCAGTCCGTAGGGATCTGGATGGGACCAGAGAAGGGGCCCAGGGCTGGAGGAGACCAGAGGTGGAGCCAGGGCTTTGAGTGGGGAAGCCTGCCAGGTAGGATTCCTGGAAGAGGGGCCACTGAAGCTGGGCTTTGAAGGATGTATAGGAATTGGATGTAGTCTAATACCTGCCATCAGTAGGTGCCTGCTGTGTTCCAGATATTGATAAAGATCGTCTAAGCCTCACAGCAACTCAAGAGGCAGTCAAGTCTACGGAGGGGGAAAGGAGGGCTCAGGGAGACTAGACGCCTGTCCGAGGGCACGCCATGAAGGCCAGTGCCCTTCTGATACTGGGAAGGAAACCCTGGCCTTCGTTCTGTCACAGGGACAGGAAGGAAACAACTGGAGGACGTCACATAAGGGACCCCTTCGTGTGAGGACACCTTATAAACCCCAGGCCCAGAAGGGCCCTAACCACGGAGTCTGGGAAAGACAGACTGTGCCACAGCTCCTTGGAGGAGATGGCCCCAGGGGCAGCACAGCACATGGGACCCAGAAGGGTCCTGGGTGGCTGTCAGCTCCCTCCTACTGCCCTCTTCCCTAGCCTGGGGGTGCCAAACGTGGACACACCCCCTTCACCAGACTAGGTGACCCTAGGTGACACACGAGGACCCCCTACATACATACATCTGGACACACCAGGACCCCCTACAAACACATACCTGGACACACCAGGACCCCTGCACACACACCTGGACACACACCGGGACACCCTACACCCACACTTGGGGACACAACAGGACCTTTACAAATACAGACACACACACACAGCTGAGCCGAAATTCCCTCCTCTTTCACACACGGTCTCATCCGCGCACAATATACACACAACCCAACCCACACACAGTCCCCATGTTTGGAACCCACAACAGAGACAGAGAACACGCACGAGTCCAGATGGGGTCTCCAGACCCCGACAAAAGTCACCCCCAACCACTGACCCCCAAGGCCACGCCCTCTGCAGCCCGGACCGCAGAGGCACAA